AGCTGCTCATCCAGGATTTACATAGAAAGCAGTTGCCTCACTTGCCTGAGCTGTCTGGCTGCAAGTGATGGGTTGAGGTCTGTGCTCAGGCTGCTGGGCTGCAAAAGCTGCACATTAACCACTGCTGGGAACCCATGCACATGATCTGCAAGATTTGAGGTAGGTCCGGAAAGAGCTGACCATCGCTATAGCTGCCTAAAAGTTAGCTAAAACCAGCTGCCAGGTGAAAGGCCAGATTCAAATCAAATCAGCCCAGCTCATCCAGACCTAGTCAAACACTTTCTGGCTAGACATTTCTGTTTCTGTTTTTGTTTTTGTTTGTTTACACCTACAGCACCTGGTCTTCCTAGGTGGTCTCCCATCCAAGTGCTAACCAGGCCCCATCATGCTTAGCTTCCAAGATCAGACGAGATCGGGTGCGTTCAGGGTGTGGCTAGACGTTTTAATGTAATTTGAAGCTGTGCCATTTGGTACTTAAAAAATAGAGTTACTGATCAATGAATGTGTCTTTTATAATGAAGACTTATGAGCCATTGTGCATCACAATATACTCAAAGGTGTTCCTCCTGCTCCCTGAAACCTCTGCATGTGATGAGATGTCACTCCCCGGATTACGTTGTTTTATATGGCACAATTGACCTTAAAATAGGAAGATTACTTGAGTGGGCCTGACCTAATCCCATGAGCCTTTAAAGGTAGAGAGGTTTCTCTGGCTAGCGGCAGAATAAGTCAGAGAAATTCGAAGCAGAAGAAGGAGTCCACATGCTGTTGTTGACTTGAAGATGGAAGAGGCCAAGTGACCAGAAACAAGGGCTACTGCTAAAAAGCTGAGAGCGCCCCCTGCTGGTAACCGTCAAGGAAATGAGTGCTGCCAACAAGAGAAAGGAGCTTGGAAGAGGACCCCTTCCAGATGCAATGCAGTGGCCAACACCTTGATTGCAGCTGGAGCAGAGGCCCCAGCCATGCTGTGCTGGTCTGGATGTTGCCAGACAGACAAAAGTAGTGAGAGTCCTTAACATATAATCTAGACACGCTATCATGAATAAGGTTGAATCAAATATCCATCTGTACTACACACAGCTTGTAACTTCCTTTTGTACATGAAATTTTTACCATATATGTATATTAGAAAGAAAGAAAATATCAAGTATCTCCCAAAGCAGAAATTGGACAGGCTGAACTCTACATCCACAATATAGTAAGCCAGAAATTACCCACAAAAGTAAACCAAACAACAAGAACAATGACAATAAGCTTAGCCTCTTTCTTAAAAAACTGTTGAAAAAAAAAACTATCGACTCAAAGAGAAAATAAAAACTATAATGGTGCATTGTATTGAAATCAGGGATACCGCATAATTAAATTTGTGGGGATAATGCCAATTTACCTCATCATGACTTCGAGGGTGTTACATGTTAGGCCTTGGCTCTAAAACAAGGGCTGTTGAATATTGTGAAATTTAACAACTTTAAATGCATTAATTACTTTAAGAAAAAAAAAAAATCTGACCTAATATTTCCACTCAGATATTTCAGGGAAAAAACTTTAAAACAGACTAAAGCAAAGCCAGAAAAAGGAAATAAGACAGATATAATAAAAATGAAAGTTGGATTTAGTGAATTTGAAAGCAGTAGAATGAATAAATAAATCCAAAAGAAGATTCTTTAACAAAAACAACAAAAGGATTGCGATAGCTGGACCTATGCCAAATTCAATTAAAGCAAAGAAATGGGAAATACAATAAGTATGTTGATGTAAATAATGCAGATTAAAATGTAAAATTATAAGAATTATAATTCTCATATGAATGGATTTTAAAATCTTCTTGAAAGTTATGGTTCAAATTAATTAATAAGAGAAATAGACTCAAAAAGAAAACTCATCTGCTCCCATACGCGAGGAAGAATTTGAAAGTGTTTTCGAAGAAATCAACTTCTTGGAGTCTCTGGAAACTTTTCGGTCAGTAAATTCTTTCGGATTCTCAAGAAACAACTCGTGTCAGCCTATGTAACCTATTTCTGACATGGAAAACTTATTTTACGAAGTTAGCATAACCCAGGTCCCAAGCCAAGCAAATAGAGCACAGCCGAATTCCCCTATCATACACTCAGACCGGCCTTCCGTCTCCTGGTCTTTGAGTCTTCAGGTATTTGGTTTCCTATTTGTCCCTAAATCCTATTGATCAATAGTCCCCCTTGTCAAAAACAGACCAAGTCTTCACTTTGCAGAATTATCTCTAGGACCTTCTAAGGGGCTTGTTTCCTGGATAATTACCACAGCTGGGCTTTGCTCACTGTCCCCCTCGTCACTCTCCTTGACTTTCTACGTGGATAACTGCCCCTTGCCCACCGCGCTGTGCCCACACGGCACCTCTAGGACTACGTGCATAGCTCATGGGCATTACTGCGCAGCTGTAGACTAGAAGGCCCCCTTGGGGACCTGTTGCATGCGAGAGCTGACTCTGCTAAACCTCGGGGACACACAGTGAACAAAGCAATCAGTCCATCCTCCCCTTATGGAGATGGCAGCTGCTCCTCCCCATCTCTTCAACCCCCTCCCCGCCGGCTTTCTCACCAGCGCCTCTGTATCTGCACCTGAGATGCATCGCCCCTTCTCATCTTGTTCTCTTACCTGGCGGGTGGATCCTACAGTCGGGTTGTTTGGGTCCCTGGGAATATGGCTCTTTCTATTTTGCCACAAAACTTTCTCTTGTTCAGGTGGCAGTCACTGGTACCTGACAGAAAGCCAACTTCAAACTAACTCAAAAAAAAAAGAACTTTTAGCAGATATAACACATCTCTAGGGCTTCAGGCATGGCTAGGTCCGGGTGCTTATCCATCACCCCAAGCTTTCTCATACCCCTATATAATTTCTTCTTTCTCTTCTTTGCCTCCTCCTCTCCCTTCCCTGGTCCTCAGGCAACCACTAATCTGTTTCCTATCATTATGGGTCAATTTATATTTTCTGAAGTCTTGGAGTGGCAGGCAGGACCCAAGCCTTAGCACCACTGAAGTTGGCCAGAGCTCCTGCCCCAGGGACCAGTTATCCTTTTGGGTTATGCGTGGGGGACCTGTCTTCCCCAGAGTCCTTGGCCAGCAGAGGGCCAGCTGCACCTTACTGGTGGGAGTGCAGGAAACCGGCGGCCTACGGAGACCCAAACTCCAGGCCTGCAGCTTGAACTTGCTTCTGACAGAGCTTTCAAAGTGCCTGGTGGTGCAGGAAGTGCTTGTTTCTCGGCCCTGCTCCCTACCTGGGGGCCGAGCTGGCAAACACTGACATGACATCTGGGTAGACAGGGCCTGCTTTGTCCCTGGGCCCAGGCTCTGTCCTCCAGACCTGTCCCGGCCTCCTCAAATTCCCTGGGCCTCCCCTTTAGCCATGAATGCTGCTGACAGTCACTGGGCAGGAAAAGCCACAGGAAACGATTTTACTTACTTTTTGAATACGTACATGCACATCGCACAAAATTACAAAAGAGTAGAGTAAGAAAAATTTTCTTTCCCTCTACTGGCCCCCAGCTACCACACACCTGTCCCCTGAGGCCACCACTTCCACCTGTCCCTCTAGAAGTTTTCTGAGATGATCTGCATACAGGCAAGCACATATGGGACTATCTTTTTATCTTTTACACAAATTGAAGCACGGGAGGCTCGCTGCCTTTCGCTTTTTCACTGAAAAGTGAATCTGAAAGATCATTTCGTATAAGTCCGTGCAGAGTGGCCACATTCCACTGGAGGCTGCTCCGTGTGCCATTCTGTGAATGAACCCGATGTCTACAACCAGCCCCTGTCGATGGACATGCTAGATCGATTGTCGTTAATATAATGTCATCCCCATCCCCTTTTACGTCTCCCCCGAATTTTCACAGTGCCTTTCCGGTATGTTCTAGGCTGAATTCTGCCTATAAGGGACACCTCACCAGCTTTGGAAGGCTGAAGGAAGTAGACACTGTTGCTCTCCAGCAGCTGTGGGTAAGCAGGGAAAATCATTGCTGGCATCATTGCTTGGCTTCTGGGGTCCCCCTGCAAGCCCCCCACTTCAGTGCTATAGGCAGCTGAGATCCCTGGTGACAGCTTCTGTCAGCCCCAAGTATCCTCCTGGGGATCAACCGTTTCAGTCCTGGGGGCACCTGGGATCATTGGTGACACCTTCCCCGCTATCTCCCCACTTCCGGTGTCTTCCTGTCCCGTCCTCTCCCAGCCCCTCCAATGCTTCTCCAAGTACCTAATTCCCTGTATTCATCTCTCTCTACTCAAAATACCTAGAATGGCTTCTGTTTTCCTGATTAAACCTTGACCAATATAAATAATACTGCTTAAAAAGAAAAAAAAGTTCAAATCGGCAGCTACAAAATAGTCACAGGGATGTAAAGTACAGCATAAGGAATACAGCCACTAATATGATGATAATTATGTAGGTGCCAGGTAGGTACTAGACTTATCAGCGGGCATCACTTTGTAAGTTACATAAATGTCTAACCACTATGCTGTACACCTGAAACTAATATAATATTGAACGTCAATTGTAATTTAAAAAATTTAAATTATATATTAAAAAAAAAATACTGCTTGCATAGCCTCGGACATGCTCATGAACCCACCTCATGCAGCAGACATTCATTCCTACAATTCATTCCTGATATTTCCAAGCCAATTTAAATTTTGACAGTGGCTTAGTCAGCTAGGGCTGCCACAATGAAGTACCACAGCCTGAGTGGCTTAAACAACAGAAACTTATTTCCTCACAGCCTGGAGGCTGGAAGTGAGGTCAGCAGGGTTGGTTGCTTTGGAGGCCTCTCTCCTCGGCTTGTAGACGGCCGTCTCCCCCCTCTGTCCTCACATGGTCTTCTTCCTTCTGTGCATGTCTGTGTCTTAATTTCCTCTTCTTGTAAGGACACCAGTCATATTGGAGTAGAGCCAACCCTAATGACCCCATTTTTACTTGACTACATCCTTAAAGACCATATCTCCATAGACAGTCACATTCTGAGGTACTAGGGGTTATGATTTCAACATTTTGAAATTTATTTGAATTTTGGGGGCTACACAACTCAGCCCATAACAGACAGCTACAGCCGACTCACTCTCTCCCCAGAGGTTGTGCCAAATCTCACGCCCTAGGGCAATGCACAGGGAGCCCCTCTTGCCAAGGGCACATTAGCAAACTTGGTGATCTTTGTCCATCTAACAGGTAAAAAAATATACATAGCACTGTCGTTTTAATTCGCATTTCTCTTACTCTGAGTGAAGTTTACATTGTTTCATATATCTATGAGTCATTTGTATTTTCTGAGAAAGTTTTGTTTACAACCTTTGTCCATTTTTCTATTGGCTTATTTGTCTTTTTCTTATTGATTTGTAGAAGAGTTTCATCACAGACATTTGTCTGATGTGCAGTGCCAATATCTTTCCATTTGTCACATCTTTCAACTTTGTTCATTATTCTTCCATAATGCAGTAGTGTTTTTATGCAAATTATCCATTTTTCTTTTATAGATTCTAGGTTCTATATCATTCTTAGAAAGATCTTTCCAACTTTACAGTTATAAAAGAGAATCTCCTGTATTTTCTTCTAGTACTTTAATGTTTCACTTTTCACATTAATACCTTTGATCCACCTGAAATTTATTTATTTAAATATAAGGCAAGAGGTATAATACAATGTTTTCTCTAAGCATGTGGTTATCCAGCTATCCCAACGCCAGTCCATCTTCACCAGTCTGAAGAGCCAATTTTATATACTGAATTCTCGTGTGCATTTATTTGGGTCTATTTCTATGCTTCCTATGCAACACCCTATTTGAGACCTTTTCTGCTCTTCTCAAACCTGTGACTCTGACATCTCCCCACTTCTCATCAAATGACCTTGCCTTTGAGTTCACAAGAGCATGGAAGGACTCACGAGAGAGCACCTCCAGTTTAACATGGAAGACCCATCTTCCCTCCTCTCTAAGGCATCCACCTTCCCAAGCTCCTCAGGGACCACTCTCTCTTCTGTGGCCAACATCTATCTATTGCTCCCTTAACCCTTCTCAGTGGCCATTTAAATGGACCGAAGTCTCTCAAATACCAAAACAAATAAAAACGAAAACTCTCTTTCAACCCTATAATTTTCCTCAGCTACAGATATCTTTACCGTCACCCTCACAGCCAAGCTCCCTGAGAGGGTCATCTACTTACTGTCTCTGCATTCCCCTCTCCTGCTCACTCCTCAGTCCACAGAAACTGAAAGAGCGTGATGTATGAGTCCCTTTTGAAAAAGTGTTTAAAGATGCAGGGGTTTTTTTTATGTAAGGAAAGTTCAATTCAAAAAAGCTGGACCACTTCCAACTCTTGGATTTGCTACTTCACAAGAAGCTTTTGTTGAAGCGTCCTTCTTACCAGAGGGCCAAAGAAAAATCTCCCACACTTGTCAGGAGACACGTGAGCGAGAGTACGGAGTCATGCGCACAGAAATTATTGAGCTACTTTCTGGATCGGATCAAAAAAAAACCACAGGAAGCAGATCCCTTGACAAATGATGTGATGTGTTCTAGACTAGATGACATTTCTTACAACATTTTAAAGCAGGTCGTTCGGTAAACAGCAGCCTGGCCATTCCCGACGGTGGCACCTCCTTGTTTTTGTTCATCGTGGCCTTATTTTGTCAGTCACCTTTGCAAACTACAAAGGCTGTCGACATTTTGGAAGTGATAAAAAGGGTTTTTACCAAATAAAACTTGGCCTGGAAAGAAAAGCTTCATTCTCTGCCCAGCTGGACCTGATTTTACAACCTTAGTGATAAAGAAAGTTCTCCGTGTCGTCATTGTTCATCGCTTTTTACACAGATGTGAATGCGCAACGAAGACCTTCCCGATGTCATGGAAGATGTTTTGTCAACATTCATAAAAGTCATCAACTCTACCGGAAGCAGGTCTCTCAATCACTGCATTCGAAAAAAATTATCAGGAAATGGGAAAACAGTAATATGAAGAGCTTCCCATTGGCTTTCGAAGGACACGTTCTAGAGCATTTGTTCAAACTAACGGCAGAAGTCTCACTTTTTCTGAAAGAGAAAAACAAGCTCACTTCTGGATGGCCTTTGAAGGAAAAGATTTTATCCTTGGATTGGCTTGCTTGGCAGATACTTTTTTTTTTTTTGGTAACCCTCTTTAGTTCCACACCCCCACTTCCACCCCTTACCTACGGATGTTACCATTTCCCCTTAAGAGCTGGATCTCTGAAGGCAAGGCATCTCCCCGCCACATGCTGTGCACCCGGGACCCAGCACACCTGGGTATGGTCCAGCACACCCGGGGGGCCTGGTGCACCTGAGGTATGGTCTGTGGCTCCACCTGGGGTGTGAACCCAGGACCTTCTGCATGTAAAGCAGACGTGCTAACCACTACACTATGGAGCCATCCCTTGGCAGATACTTTTAACCACCAAAATGAGATGTCTTCCTATTTAAGTTTCTGAAATGACCATTTGTGATGCTCCTAGAAAATTTTCAGGCTTTCGTGGTAGTGCCAACATAGAATAAAATAAAGCCCATGACACACTTTCAAATGATCAGAAGAGATTTACCAGGACAGAGTGCAGACACACAATGCTCTGAATTTCTTTGCAAAGAGAAATTTGCCAATATTTGGATTTTTAATCTTTAAGGCATCAAAATTGAACCATGAACCCACAATTCTTTTCTTTCTGAGATGGTGTATATTTGAATTGTGACCTGGCTAAGGATGATATTTAATATTTATAGAACCTATAGTGATATTTCCTCTTTCATTCCTGACATTGGCTATATTTTTTTCACCTTTTTCTTATCAGTCTTGCTATTAATTATACTAATTCTTTTAATCCTTCCAATGAACCAACTTCTTTCTGCCTTGATATTTCTGTATCATTTTCATTCTTTAATTTTTTTTTCTTATTTTGAGCATTGTTTCCTCTTCCTAGGGTTGGAAACTTATATGATTAATTTTAAACCTTTTCTCTTTATTTCTAAAAGATTTTTTTTTAAATTATTTATGCCAACAGCACCTGGTCTCCCTAGGTGGTCTCCCATCCAGGTACGAACTAGGCCCGACCCTGCTTAGTTTCGGAGATCAGACATCAGGCTTATTCAGGGTGGTATTGCCATAGCAGACCATGGACCGTGGCTCCACTGCGGCGTGAACCCAGGACCTTTTGCGTGTAAAGCAGACGTGCTAACCACTATAGAATCACATCCTCTAAAAGATTTAAAGTTACAAATTTCCATCTGATCAGTGCTTTACTTAGCTTCATCCCAAAATGTGTTTTCATTATGATTCACTCTGTAATATTCTCTAACTTCTCTTGTGATTTCTACTATGACCCATGCAGAAGTGTTTTTCAGAAGTGTACTTAATGTCCAAATATTTAGGGATTTTCTATTTTATTCCTGTCGTGTCAGAGAATAGATCACGTAGGTTTCTCAATCTTTGACATTTCTTGAGATTTGTTCTGAGGCCTAGGATACTTTGGTGAATGTTCCATGTGCACTTGAATGTGAGTTCTTCAGTTGTTAGGTCTAATTGGCTGACAGTATCATTATTGGTATGTATATACTTAATCTATTACTAAATAAGAGGCATTAAAATCTCTATGATTGCAAATTTATCTATTTCTCCTTTAACTCTGTCAATCTTCACTTCATGTATCATAAAACTCTGTTAGTAGGTACACATTTAGGATTGCTATGTTTCTGATAAAATGACCTTTTTTTATTATGAAATATCCTTCTTTTAGTTATACTCAACTTGAAATCTACTTTGTCAGATGTTAATAGAGCCACAACAGATTTCTTAAGGTTTTCATGACATATCCTTTTCCATCCTTTTACTTCAATCTTTTTCTTTGTATTTAATGTGCATCTCTTACAAATAGCTCATTAGTTTTTGCATTTTTCTTCCAGTTTGACAATCTCTGCCCTTTAATTGTTTAGTCCCTTTTCACATAATTAGTGATATGACTGAGTTTAAACCCATCATCATGCTATTTGTTTTCTCGTGTTCTATTAATCCTTGCTCTTCTAGTCTGCCTCATTGTGCATAATTTTTTAGTATTCCATCTCTTTGGAATTAGTATTCCATGTTCTCTGCTGGCTTTGCAGCTATATTTCTTTGTATTATTTTACTATTTTATTTAATAGCTGTTCTAGGGATTACAATATGCATTTTAACTTACCACAGTTTACCCTGAATTAACATTATACTAGTTAAGTAATATAAGAATCTTAAAATCATATAATTCCATTTACTTCCCCTAATTTGTGCTATTTTGGGTATACATTTTACTTTTACACATATGATAAAACCCATAATACAAGTATTGCTTTTGCTTTAGATAGTAGTCTTTCAAAGGCAATATTACTTACCATTTCCAGTGTTATTTCTTCCTGTAGATCCAGCTTTCCATCTGATATTCCCCTTCAGCCCGAAAAGCTTCCTTTAGCATTTCTTGAACTGAACTGCAAGTGTGCTCATGACTTCTCTCAGCTTCATTTAAAAAGAAGTTATTTCTCCTTCATATTTGAAGAATATTTCATAGATATGGAATTCTAGATTGCTTTTTTTTTCTTTTGGCACTTTAAAGATATCATCATCTCATAGTTTTCCTGGTGAGAGTTTAGCCATCATGCTTCTAGATGTTCCTTTGCATCTCATGGAATTTTTTAGCTTACTGTTTTAAAGTTTTCTTCTTTATTTTTCAATAATTCGGTTATGAACTGCTGAAGTATAACTTTTTCTTGGTTGGGTCTGTGGGTAGTTTTTCATAAAATTTAGAAAATTTTCAGCCATTATGTTTTGAAGAGAGGTTTTTTCCTGCCCCAATCCTCCTCTCCTCTTCTTGCTCTCAATTACACGTCAGACAATTTGATATTCTCACTGAGAGTCTGGCTCAATTCTCCCCAGTCTTTTTTCTCTTTGAGTTTCAGTTTTGATAACGTAGAAGAAAAATATCTTTTCCTCTATCTTTCTAAATTCTTGGCTGGAGTCCCGGTAATAAAAGACAGATGAAAGCATACAAATTTACCTGATATAACGTTTATGTGACAGGAGAGCCCTTATAAAGAAATGAAAACCTGAAGAGTTAAACCTGACCGTCTTTTACATTAGGTTTGATGATGAGTGGTTTGGGAAAATGTGATAGGACTGGAAAAAAAGGGTATGAGCTAAGTGTAGTAAACTGAGGAAAACAGCAAGGCCTGTTCCTCCAAATTCTCTCAGCATCCTAAGGGGAAGGGAAGAGTGCCTCTCACATGAGGGATCTATGACTTGCTTCACAGGAAGGTCAGAAAATCCTTCCTACACCTGTCACTTTTAAATTCCACCAGCTTGAAATATTCAGTATGCCAAGGTGCCATATTTTGGGGTAGCATGTCCTGAACTCCAATTTTATTGATATCTTCTAGTTTATTAATCTTTTCTTCTACTATGAAGCCCTTCTAGTGAATTTTTTCAGTTCTAGATTTCCATTTGGTTCTTGAGTTTCCATCTCTCCAGAAATTGTTTCATTAAATATATTCATCTTTTCCCGAAAATTCTTTAACATATTTATGATTAAAGTTTTTGCCCACAAATTTCAATGAGTTGACTTTCTTATGGACATTTTCATACTTCATGGCACATCCAGTAATTTTTTGCTTACTGTACTGGATATTGTATAGGATACACTATAGTGAGTCTGGATTCTGTTATCTTCCTGTGAACGCTATTGAACTTTGTTCTAGTAGGCAATTAAATTCAGGAGATTCTCCAATTATGTGAGGGCTTAGTTTTCGGCTTTGTTAGTTTGAGTCTATTTTGGTTTTGTATTTGCCTTAATCCTAGGGTTTAGTCCTTAAGCCTGGAATGTGGCTATTACTTCTAAAGTATGGTCCTTCTGAGTTTCAAAGAAAAACTCAGAAGTGTTTTATCAAAACCCCCTAACTAGGCAGAACTTAAACTCCAAACTCTTTAGCACCACTGCTGGAACCTATAGCCAGCTCTCTTACTTTTCCACCATTGTTTTCCCTGGGCTCACTAGAATCTTGCCCTGAACATACACAATTCAGGACTCAGCCAAGAATTTGTAGGAAATTAGTATGCAAGTTTTCTAGCTTTCTCCTCTGTCTCCCTCATTTTCAGGAACAACTCAAACTCCAATGCAACTCCTCAGTGCAGTAAAATTCTTTTTGCTTTCAACTCTATGCCTGAGGAATCATGCTGATGGGGGCAGGGAGGGGGTACCCATAGGAAAAGCTAATTAAACATGGATCTCACCCAGTGTCCTTACCTCCTTCCAGGAATGGTATCTGCTTAGCTTTAGTTTCAGGTATTGCCCTTCGACACCTCCAAAAGTTTTTTTATATTTGTCCATAGTTTATAATTTTATCAACAGGTTGTTAGTCTGTTATAAGCCACTTGACCGTTACCAGAACCAAACTCCCTAACTGTATTGTAAATATAATACATCTCATCTAATTCATTAACACATAATTCTATCGAGAAGATTGTTCTTAAATACCTATTTCGGTATAGATTTTTCTTGTAATCCCTTTAAAAAATGATTTTGAAAACATTCTGAGGGGGGGTTCAAAGGCTTTACCAGACTCCCAAAATAATGCTGAACACAAAAATGTTAACTCCTGGCCTGAAGATTTTCTACTGCTACCACCATAGGTTTTCCTACAGTTGGGGAAATTTCCCCAGATTTCCTTAACCATCACTTACTGATACCTACTACACGTCAGGCACTGTTCTGGGCCCATAGGACAGAACAGGGAACAAAACCAAGTCCTTCCACTCAAGAGGCTGGCAGGAACATGTTCATATTTCCATGTAGAAGGACCAGCAAGAGGAATCCTCCAGACCGTTCTCCAGTTACTGGGTTCCCTTGCCAATGAGACAGCCACTGGCTCACATTAATCGGTTAAAGTCAGACTGCTGATAGGCCCTCATCATAGAGTTCTTTCCCTTCCCTCTCCACCTCAGCCTAGCGCCAGAGCCACCACTCTGGTGTGTCTGCCCAGGTTTTCTAATGATGGGAGAGAGGGAGTTTCAGGCAGGAAGGAGGGGGCTCATTGGTCAGATGAGAGAAGACTGAGCTCTAGATTTGCAGCCTTTGGCTACTGGCACCCTTAGTGAGCAGAAGAGGGTGTGGGGACAGAAACCACAATGCTGACAGCTAAGGATTGGGAGGCAGGAGTGTGGTCCTTAAGAGGGAACAGACTGGCATGGAGGTAGGATCAGGAAACTTCTTTTTGATGAGAAAAACTTTTTTGACACTTTTTTTTAAAACTGAGGGGAGACAGAGATGCAATAGAGGTAAATCAATCAAGCATGAATAAACGGGGTAACTCAGAGAGCCCAGGAGCAGCCTTCAATAGATTACAGTTCTTGGACACAACTGGAATCCACTTCTTGAGATTCTATAGCATCTCTCAAAGTGAACTTCCTAGATTCCCAGGCCCTATCACTAATCCCAGGGCGAGTTTGGAGTTAAAGAGCCACTGGCCTGAAACTTAATCTTCAGGCTTCCCTGACACCTCCATCAGGTTGCCACATCCTCGTGGATGTACTGCCACCTGCTGGAAGAATGACAAAAGTAGCAACAACCATTTGCTGAAGGAACTGCTTTTCTAAAATGGCTGCATGCAAAGTTCTCACCCAAAGCACCAAATCAGAAACCACAGGGACCAAGGGAGGACTGGAATGCGAAATTTTATAGGACAGGACCGCAGCCAGTTACAAGACCTAGCACTCCTCTTGGGCCCTGCAGGGTGACCACCTCCATCTCCCTTAGATCCTGATTAGCATTAGCACCTCACACTGGAAGCAGTAATTACAGGGCAGGACTGTTTCTCTCCCTTAATGCGAAGGGATAGTAAAACTTTTTCTGCCCTTGTCTTGCCCCACAGCAGGTTTACAGATGGGCTGACCAATGGCTGGTATACCGTGGGCACAGTATCAGGAGCATTTCTATTGAAAAGTGTAAACTCTAAAGGCAGGGCAAATTATCTTACAAAGCAAGTTCTACCCTAGCGGTCAAGAACCACTATCAGATAGGAGTCAGGTTCAAGCCTTCCCTACCCATCTCCCAGCAAGGGAACCCACCACACCCTGCTCTGTCATCCAAGTATTGAATATGCACTGTGCTGGGCCTGAGCCTGTAGCAATGCTAATACATGCTACTAGATTGCCAAATTGCCTGTTACATTTTCAGTTTATCTTAAACCTACGGGACTACCATAAATTAAGGAGCCAGCCAAGGCAGGTAGATATCTACTTGGGAGAATGCTGTGGGGTAACAGAGAAGGCTGTCATCCTTGATGGGTCCCAGGAGACCCAAAGTTCATTCTCACGGGCCCTTTCTTTTAAAATCCAAGTTTGGGACTGATCGCCATTAACAAGGTAAATTTTAACATGTATTCACTCAGTTCTAAGCCTACTCAGCCTTATCACTTGGGCTAACTTATGACTTCGATGAGCTCCAACTGGAACTTTGAGATCTAGAAAAATCTAGGCTACCAGGGGTTCATTTTAGTTTGCCATCAGAGTACGTACTTCGGCAAAACTTCATTGGCACTTACCCCTCCAAAGCGAAGCCTTAGTCCTGCTTTAAGTCCTTCCTATTTGGAACAGAACTGCTAAGTGGTGGGTGAAGTGTCACGTGGCTTAGATTTCATCACACTAGTGAAACTCATAACCAGGACAAAACTTATCCACTTTATAGCCTTTAGGTTGCTTTATAAATTTAATTCTACCAGTATATTTTTACTTGGCATTTTTTAGTAGTCTGATTATGACAGTCGAGTCCACAGGCTTTTGGACTTGGGTGTCCTGGGTTCAAAATCTTGGCTCTACACCACCTGGGGCACCATTTTCCAGCTAAATCCATATTAATCCTTTGATCGAATGTCTCATGTGGCCTTTAACTTATCAGAAGTAGAGGTGGGGGGAGTACTTAATAGATGGAATATCTGAACACTAAACACATTACAAAACCGACGGCCTTTCTTGCCAGTTTAACCTGAGGTTGCTGGGAGACTTACTCTCAAACAAGGCTTTCATGCCACAACACACGCGCAGCTACAGAAAGCTGGTGACTTCAGCCATTTCACCAAAACTAGTGGCTGGGATACTTGAAACAAAAGCATCAAGCATTTCCATTAGGGGTGGGTTGGATCTGGAGTGGCAGAACAAACTGGGTTTGCCATGCTCTACCTTCAGCCATATTCCAGGAGAAACGCTCTAGGAAGTAGAAGTCTGGCACCAGAGTTTAGGACTTTTAATTTGTCCCAAAGTTGCTGAAGCAAAATCATGATAAAACATTCTGCTTTCCTTTACAACCCCCCAACACGAAAAAAAAAAAAAACAAAACTATTTGTAGGAAAAAAATGGTTTTGTACATAGGAAGAAACAATATAAATTCAAAACTTACAGATAAGGGTTAGCTCTATCACTCATCTCTTTAAAAAGTTTATATGAATATCCAGTCAAAACCAACAGGGTATCTCCCTTGAAATGTTATCTATATGGATTTCCAAGTAGACCACAGGACTGTATACTGTCTTGGAATGTCCTTAGAAGGCTCTGTCATTGATCAGGTAACAGAGTAAAAACCCCAGAGTCCTTTCTTTCAAATGGAAGAAGGAAAGACAGGGATAGAAGAAACTATTCAAACTTCGTCTTCTTTCCTTGTG